ATATTTTGAACAATAAAAATATTAAAAATTAAAATCTTCAGACACACTGGGTTGTAGATTAATATTCTTTCGTTTTTTTATTATTATTTCATTTAGATTCCTCGACTAGTTTGAACCAAAATGGCCATCATCAGAAGAAGAAATATTTATGCTTACTGGTAGCAGTGAACTACAGAAATGAATGTCTTGATGGAGAAAATGAACTTTTGTCTGTAGTTTTTCATTTGTTTTTTAATTTTTATCTTTTTAACATGAATATATATATATATATATATATATATATATATATATATATATATATAAATATATATATATGCAATGATGTTCACTCTATACAAGGTCCAAGAGCCACTCAAGGTAGAGGGTTACAGAATAAGAGGCATCACCACAAGCAAAGTGAAATGCCATCAAGATAAAAGGGAGCCACCAAAAAGTGAAAGATAACGAAAAAAAAGACATTAGAGGGAACAGGAAAGCAATATATATATATATATATATATATATATATATATATATATATATATAATAAAAGGCTTAAACACTAATATTCAAAAAAAATATATATGTATGTGTATGTATCGATGTATATATATCTATATATTTTGCATATGTATGTGTATATTTAGCACTAATATTATCTATCTATCTATCTATTTATCTATCTATATATATATATATATATATATATATATATATATATATATATATTTATTAATAGAAATAAGCAGCTCTTAAAATGAGTCTGCCATAAATGCACACCAGAAAGAAAAAGGAGCATTTGTGTATATAATTAATGACATTCTGACCTCAAGGAAAGATGACACATTTTTTCAGATTTCCAAAAAATTTAATCCTGTCAAAAAAAATGTTAATATTGCTTTATGTTGTAAGTATATCATAATTCTACTTTGTCTATATGAGATTTAGATGATAATGTATAACTGTAAATGTGTGTGCACGTTTGTGCACGTGTGTGTGTGTGTGTGTGTGTGTGTAGTAGGCATTATTTATGCTTTGTGGTTGTCAGCAAGTTGATTTGGGTACGTTTTCATGTAAGCACTGATAGTTGTAGATAAACATCATTTTGATTCTTTGAAAATGGATTTAGTAAAGGTTGGTGATCTAATATAGTGTCTTTGGCATGTGTTTATAGTTGGTAAAATAGATATCTGGATTCTCTCAATGTATTTCATTATAAAGAATTATATTCTTTTTTTAATTAGGGTGGGATTTGTAAACACTACAATCTTAACCTCTTCAAGACTAGGGTCAACTGATATCTGACCTGCATATTCTACATTTACTTCCTTCTCTTACATCCATACAACAATATAATTCACTAACTTTCTACCAGGAGTGGCTCTTGGGTGTTATATTTGGTGAATAATGGTATAAAATGCCTTTTTCTAGAAGCCAAAAATAGTCTCAACCAAAAATAATTAATAAATCGTAAGCAATGATCTTTTGTTGGTCTTCAATCAAATATATTTTATATTTAGATGACAAGAGGTTATTTAAATGTGTTTTCAAGATCTTAATGGGGAGTACAAAATTTAATCAATGTTATAAAATCAGACATTAGAAAAGAAAAAGAGAAAACTGGATATGAAAAAATACATTGACAGTAAATTGTGATACCAAAAGAAAAGAGAAAAAATAACAAAATAAAAAATATAAAAAAATATTTTAAAAAATATAAAAAATAAAAAAATGGTAAAAAATATAAAAATATAAAAAGAAATATAAAGAAAAGGAAAAATAAAAGAAAAAATAGAAAAATTGAAGAAAATAAATAATAGAAAAAATATTCAAAAAGAAAAAAGAAAAGAAAATATATAGAAATATAAAAAATATATAAAATCTATCATGAACAGCTGACCAGTTTTCATTCCTCTTTCATCAACTAAAAGAAAATAGAGGAAGATTGCATGTAAGAAATGCACAGTTACCACTAATATATTGGCACAAGTATAACAACTAGTTGCACATATTCAGTTATGCCTGTCTACTAGGGTGGCTAGCTACTGTTGCAGACACATTTGTGTCCACTCGTGGTTATTACTGCAACTATGCTTAGCAGGCCATAGAGTTACTGAGAAAGAGTGTATTATCTGGTGTGATTAACAGTCTGACAAAGAGCAATACACTCAAACCCTTGATCATGACGTGGGCCATAGATGACTACCAAATAGTTCCATCTACCAATTTGACTCACAAGGCTTGGGTAAAACTGAAGGGTGGTTTTCATACACTTTCCAAAGGCTTCACATGTTGTGATCACCACCCAAGTTGATAAAACCAAGAAATCACCTTCCTGACATATCAACCATGATGGAATTTAAACCCAGGTCTCATGAAACAAACATTCTGACCACTCGATCATGTGCTCATGTACTTATATGGTAAAGAGATCAAACTGAGACTAGCAACTGTTGGCTGTCTTGATTTAATTAAAAAATGTCTCGAGAACTTTTAGGTGAAAGACAAAAATGTGATTTACTTAACACAAAAAAACATATTGTCACAAAAGGTCAATGCACATTGCCAATTTTCCACAAGATGTTCTGAGATCGCAGACTCAGATGTAGTGGAACATTTATTAAAATTCTCAATCAACCTTTCTTGATGAATGATGGTAAATGTTGGAAAATTTTCTGCTCTTATTAATGAGTAGTCCAAACAATCTAGTCAGCATCACCCTGCTTAAAAAATAAGTAGGCTGTCTTTATGATTGATTCTAATATCGAGCAAGAAGTGAACATAGGACATAAATTGGCTGCAAAATATATATTTGATCTTCTGCTAGGAAAGTCAGTTCACTGTGTCAAGCTACACAAATTTTCTCTCTAAAATCTATCATCTGCAATATTATTGATCCTGACCTGACATTTCAGCTTCAGTCACTCTCCAACCACCATAATATAGATTTACTGTGCATTTGCTATAAATATTTTCGGGGTAATTTTTCTAATGAACTTTTCTTTATAGTATCTAGACTTTAACATTTAAGTGTACTACTAGATTGACTCATCATTTTACAGTTGACATTGCTAGATATAATTATAAGTTATATTTTCTTTCTCTTGTACTTCTGGCTTCCTGGCAACTTTGACATCCAAAAATTTATATGCAATGTCAATTGTTATCTTCTGTTTTCTTAATTCTTGTTCTTTTAGTGTTTCTCTCATATTCCCTCACATTAAATAATCCCTTGTGTCTTAATGGCTTTATTGCCTTACTTGGGGTGAAATGATTAAGAATAAAATTTCTTAACATATATATATATATATATATATATATATATATATATATATATATATATATATATATATATATATATATATTGTTATCCACAGACAGACTGTTTTGCTGTTTCACAGCTCATCAGTGTGGCTAAATATCTGCTTGCTTCAAGCCCGGATCAAAACCTGACCGACTCGGCAACAGTTGGAGTTTTTCTCCCAAGTCATCAGTGAATGGTTGAAAGAAAGGTGAATCTTTACATACTTACTCTGTGAACATACATGCCAATGACTAAAAGTGCTCAAATCAAGGAAGAGAAGAGCCTTGTAATATTAGTAGTAATAGTCATTGTTTACAATGAATTACATAAAAATGAAACTCAACTGTATTCAGTTTTATGTAATACATTTCTATGCTCTGTAATAAATATATTGAACTCTCTTTTGTGGATCAGATTTCATATTTTATATCAATAGGATTCACTTAGATTACTAACCATGGATTATATATATATATATATATATATATATATATATATATAAAAAATTTATAATGTGATAAAAATATAGTTTTAAGCTATGCTATATTTATCAGTAAATGTACTCAATATCACGGATAGAGCATATGTAAATATGAAAGTGGTGACAGTCTGTTTCATGATTGAAGACAATTTTCAGTCCTGAAGATTGTGTTCAAGCATGAAACCTTGTCACTGCCTGATTTTGACATCAGTGTCCACTTTTATATAAACACACACACACACACACATATATATATATATATATGGTGGACTCTCCCTATTTGACATATGAGAGTCAAGCAACACAGTTCCTAGGAACCGACAGCCCAGACACCAGCACATATGATTTGATTATAGTGGTGAAGGTTTCGTGCAGAACAATCCACACTTTTTGAAGGGCTGAATACGAAGACCTGGTGCATCATGTGCCACAAGGTTTGCAAACGACCCTCCGCAGGTTTTGAATTTAGAGTGGTCTTTCTCCTAGAATAGTTGCCATCCAAGGCTGTAGAACACAGTCTGTCCTGCTATTTACCCATAGCTGGAGAGAGAAGAAGAGGATTCATATCTTTCCCAAAGGTATTAGCATGTAAGTGAATGTAGTGGATTCAACTGGAATTTGAACTTGGCTCTCTGATTCCTCAATCCGAGCTGATATATATCATATATATATATATATATATATATATATATATATATATATATATATATATGTGAAAATTTTTCAAGAGTAATAGCTTCTGTGATATTAAATTAGAGACAGTATGCCTATGGATATATAAATTTACTGAGCTTTGATTAACTTTTTATAATTTAAGTTGTTGACGCAAACTTTAAAATTTAATGCCTCTGCCAATATATAAAATAATTACATATATACTGATGAATACATCAATCTTTAGATAATAAAAATCTAAAAATATTTGATTATATATGTGTTGATGTATGCATATATATATTTGAGTATATATGCATCTGTGTGTACATATATATATATATATATATGTATACATATACACATATATATATATATCCCTTAAATCTGATCAAGTATTTTGTGAAAGAAATGACATTAAATTAAATAAACTTTTAAATTATATAAATTATTTCATTTGTATTTAATTAACTTTTATACGCAGTTTTGCCAAATCACCTGACAACTAAAAACTATTAAGTGTTTAAAAAAAAAATGGAAAAATCCATACAGTGATAAAAATATTGCATCAGGTTTAAAGTTATGTTTCTGTCACAACAGGAAGGAGAAAAGATATCATTAATTCTCTTATCAGCCATCAATCACTTCTCCTTCTTCTTCTTCTTTTTTTCTTGTTCAATTTCACCTTCTTCTATTTCTTCATTTTCTTCTTCTTCTTCTTCTTTTTTTCTTGTTCAATTTCACCTTCTTCTATTTCTTCATTTTCTTCTTCTTCTTCTTCTTTTGTTCAATTTCACCATCTTCTATTTCTTCATTTTCTTCTTCTTCTTCTTCTTCTTCTTGCTCAATTTCACCTTCTTCTATTTCTTCTTCTTCCTCATTTTCTGTTTCTTCTTCTTCTTCTTTTTTTCTTGTTCAATTTCACCTTCTTCTATTTCTTCATTTTCTTCTTCTTCTTCTTCTTCTTCTTCTTCTTCTTCTTTTTTTTCTTGTTCAATTTCACCATCTTCTATTTCTTCATTTTTTCTTCTTCTTCTTCTTCTTCTTCTTTTTTTTCTTGTTCAATTTCACCATCTTCTATTTCTTGTTTTTTCTTCTTCTTCTTCTTCTTCTTCTTTCAATTTCACCTTCTTCTTATTTCTTCTTCTTCCTCATTTTCTGTTTCTTCTTCTTCTTCTTTTTTTCTTGTTCAATTTCACCATCTTCTATTTCTTCATTTTCTTCTTCTTCTTCTTCTTCTTCTTCTTCTTTTTTTCTTGCTCAATTTCACCTTCTTCTATTTCTTCTTCTTCCTCATTTTCTGTTTCTTCTTCTTCTTCTTCTTCTTCTTTTTTTCTTGTTCAATTTCACCATCTTCTATTTCTTCATTTTCTTCTTCTTCTTCTTCTTCTTCTTCTTCTTCTTCTTCTTCTTTTTTTCTTGCTCAATTTCACCTTCTTCTATTTCTTCTTCTTCCTCATTTTCTGTTTCTTCTTCTTCTTCTTCTTCATCATCTTGATCATCTCCTTCTACTGGATCATCTTCGTCCTCCTCCTTCACCTCATTTTCTGTTTCTTCTTCTTCTTCTTCTTCTTCTTCTTCTTCTTCATAATCACCTTCTTATTATTATTCTTATTCCTCTTCTTCTTCTTGTCTTTGTTCATTTTATCCTCCCCATCTTTTTCTTTTTCTTCTTCTTCTTCTTCTTTTAGTTCTTTTTGTTCATTTACTTCTTCTCTTCCTTGTCACTCTTCGTTTATTTTTTCTTCGTCTTTTTCTTCTTCTTCTTGTACACGTTATTATTATTATTATCATTATTATTGTTGTTTATCTTCTATTATTTCTAATTACTTATCAATGAGAGTGACTTCAAATAATCCATTAATTGCTTTCAAATTATTAGCAGCTCTGCAATGGAAGAATTAGACAAGTGTTCAGTTTCCCTAATTGCTAAACATATTTTGCTTTCTCTCCAGTCAATCTATGAGATTACATATTAAATAGGATAAAAAGAAATAACCAAAACAAACCTGTTATTATTCTTAATGCTTTCAAAATCCTTGGTCTTTTTTTTATTCATTTACTTGCAAAGGTGTTTTTATCCTTTTATAACGTTATCTTTTAATTTTCATCATATGCTTGTCAAATGGTAAAAAGACTTCAATGAACAGGTGAGGAAATCTTTTAAAAAAACACACACATAATATTCTGAATCTTTGACTCAGCTTCTGCTTAATTTCTCAGCAACATAATTAAGGATTTTTATCATTTTATATTAGATTTTTCCTCATCATCATTAGCACTGTCATTGTATAATTCTTTGACAAACTTCTTCTATGTGCTCTTTGCCTTCAGGACCTGGGTGATCATAGCTCCCCACAGCTTCTGATTCTTTCTCAGCTCTTAGCAGTCTTTGTTAACTATCCTTTCCACTCCCCATTCTGCTATCCATTTACATTTACACAAGCTTGTTAGGTAAGTTATTCAAGGTTTCCCTCTTCTACTGAAGACTATATGTCATTGGTCAGAAAACATTGCCCATGTAACTTATTTTTCATCAACCTAAACAGATGAAAGTTAGAAGACTCCATGTCAAGAATATATGTCATTGGTAGGAAGACATTGTCCATGTAGCTTATTTTTCATCAACCTAAACAGATGAAAGTTAGAAGACTCCATGTCAAGAATATATGTCATTGGTAGGAAGACATTGTCCATGTAGCTTATTTTTCATCTAAACAGATGAAAGTTAGAAAATGTCAAGAATATATGATGAGGAAGACATTGTCCAGCTTATTTTTCATCAACCTAAACAGATGAAAGTTAGGAAGACTCCATGTCAAGAATATATGTCATTGGTAGGAAGACATTGTCCATGTAGCTTATTTTTCATCAATGTTAGAAGACTCCATGTCAAGAATATATGTCATTGGTAGGAAGACATTGTCCATGTAGCTTATTTTTCATCAACCTAAACAGATGAAAGTTAGAAGACTCCATGTCAAGAATATATGTCATTGGTAGGAAGACATTGTCCATGTAGCTTATTTTTCATCAACCTAAACAGATGAAAGTTAGAAGACTCCGTGTCAAGAATATATGTCATTGGTAGGAAGACATTGTCCATGTAGCTTATTTTTCATCAACCTAAACAGATGTAAATTAGAAGAAAAAGAAAAAATATTCAGTACTTAAAAGATTTTTTTTAAATTTCCACACTTATATTACATCTTGGTAATCTATTGTTTTTAACATCGGTTGTTGATAATAATTTTTCTTATCAACTTCTTTGTTTTATACTGCCGACGATTATCTTTGTGAAGAAGTGTCAGCCAAAAGGCACCTAAAATCCCCACCTTTTTTCTTAAACGAGATACTTTTGTATCTATTTTAACAATAAAATGGCAAATATGATCCTTATATTTAAATTAATGTTAACTTGGTGTGGCAGTAAAAAGAACCTGTTTATATATATATATATATATATATATATATATATATACAAATTAGCAACAATTCAGAATGAAAAATTTAAAAACTAAATACAATGTACAATTTTGAACCGAGATTAAACATTTGAAATAATTAACAATGCTGAATATATAGAGATTAAAATTTGAACAAAGTAGAGATAAGAAACATGCAATGAAAGTGAGAATAAGATTGAGGTTGATGAAAGATGAAGAAAGCAGTGTGTAAATTTAAACAAATATAAGCCTAAGATTTCATAGAAATTTGATTAAATCTCAAGACAAAGAATATCTTTTGAAAAAACGGTTTTTAAATCCCAAAAACCACACACCAAAATGCTAGCATTAATTTACAAAGTTCAGACATAAATAAACCATAATTTTACAGATGATATCACTTACATGATGTGAATGTATCAACCCAGCTGAACTTTGGATGTGCACATGTGGGACAACAATATCTCAGTAAGTTATATAAGTGTTTCATCCAAGAGTCCCTTACATTCTTGCCAGAAGATCAAAGTTTAAATAAAGTTCTGACCTTTGACACTGGAACCTGCCATGACACATGCACAAGGAAGAATAATTTCCATTCCTTTCATATTCCAGTATCAAGAGGGAAATTCCATTTGAACAGCTTCTTCCCAAGAGCTATTATTTTGTGGAACAGACTCCTGAAAGGATGTTTTCCCAATCACTACAATCTTGACCTTTTCAACTTTAGGATTAACTATTATCTTTCATGACTTTTCTTACATTCATGCAATACCAAACAGTAATCCTCTACCCCTGAGTGCCATTACATTGCATGAACATTAGTATAAAATATCCTCAAAACACATACGAACATGTGATATATATATATATATATATATATATATATATATATATATATATATATATATATATATATATATATATATATATATATATATATATATATATATAGCAAATATATGGATATAGATCCGACAGTATGAAGAAAAATATACGGAAAAAACAAACAAAATCCTAATATGCAATTATGCTGTTTTAATATTAATATAATGTCAACGCTGGACGTTTCGGTCTAGTAGACCATCTTCAGGACATATTCATAAAACATAATTAACATTAGACTATATTCAATTCAACATGAAAAGACGATGGACATAAAAGTAAGACTGATCAAAACAGATAACTGAAATTTTTCAAGATCAGCGTTCCGTTTCACAATATGATCACGTCGGCGTCACATGGGCGATGTTTTGAAAATGTATTCCTAAAATATAGTATTTTGAATGAAAAACAAAAAGAATTTTATCTAAAACTTATATGTACATTTGTCAAGCATTAATCTTGCTAGAAAAGGGGAAATATTAAAGAAGCCGGGTCTAGCATTTACCGTGCATGAGATGGATATTATGCCTGCCCCATAAATCCTTCTAAGATTTTTATTATGAATATATTTTAAAATCTTCACAGAATCCAAATCCAAATTATGATCAGATTTAGCTGTGTGTACAACTAAAGCATCGTTCAAATTACCAAGGCGAATATCTCGTTTATGTTCGAAAACATGAGATTTTATGGACCTACATGATTCACCCACATATTTTAAGTCACAGTTGTTGCATAAGATTTGGTAGATGCAAGCATCGGATGTAATATGTTGGTTGCTGGTGTTATTTAATAAACTACAGATAGTATATATATATATATATATATATATATATATGTATGTAGAACAACATTTCCTCCTAGAAAAACATGATAAATTCACTATAATAGAGAAAATAGAAAAGTTTAGAGCTGATAACATTAGAAAGATTTTATTAGAGTTCCATGAAAATAAGTGGATACAACCTTTAAAAATGCACTATCCAGATGGGCTTAATCACAAATTTAATGATATAGATAGTATTAATATATAACCCCATAAATCAAGACTTACCTACATTTCTCACCCACACAAGACAGACATGCTTACCAAGGTGTTGAGGTCTGTCACTTATACACACACCCACACTCCCTAATGAGCCAAATGATAACATACACCCATAGTACACACATCATACTCACTCACTCCCTAAGAACCAAATAACACACTCACACTTAACAGAGACACATCCCCTTTCCAGGAACCAATAAAACTGTCAAAATGACCAAGGGAATTCCGAGCAGCATGAATGCATCCAGCACTTATCTTAAATAACAACTTAAAAGACTGTTTGACCAACACAAAGTCTGACCAAAATTCATGTTAAAAAAATAAAAAACAAATGAAAACTACAGACAAAAGTTCATTTTTTCCGACATTCATTTTTGTAGTTCACTGCTACCAGTAAGCAGAATTTTTTTTTTCTCCTGAGGATGGCTATGTTGGCCAAAACTAGTCGAAGAATCTAAATGAAATAATAATAAAAATGAAAGAATATTAATATACAACCCAGTGTGTCTGAAGATTTTAATTTTTTAATATTTTTTAATTGTTCAATATATATATATATATATATATATATATATATATAGGCTGTTTCAGGCAGCAGTAAATAATATCAGTGTTATTGGTGACAATTTATTCATTTCTCTATTGGATCATGTTATTTAAGTCATGGCAATTATGTGTGAATAAGAATATCACCCAAATGTCCACCACACCCCTACTTGATGCTCCTCAATCTCACCAATATGCGTTATTATCTCATCCTTCAGCTGTTGAATTGTTGTCGGCTTGTTAGCATAGACCTTACTTTTGAGATGATCCCAAAGGAAGAAATCTAAAGGCGTCAAGTCGCATGATCATGGTTTCCAATTGTCTTCACTGTTTCAAGAGATGATTCGACCTGGGAAGTGCGAGAAATGCATTTCTGTTTGAACATCCATTTTCATAACAGGCTTTGATAACTTTAGCATTTTTGTTTATTGTTAATCTTTCCATGGTTGAAATTGCCTAAAACTTAAGTTGTTAAATGTTTAAGAAAAAGAAACAAATCATTAGACACTTAAACTTGGTCCAAGTTATTGGAATGACCTTTATATATATATATATATATATATATATATATATATATATATATATATATAATACTAAAAAAGAAAAACACTAGGCAAGACTAGAGTTAGGTCAAAACATGGATATTTCTTTAAAAGTGCAAAATACACAATACTGAAAAACTGAATTTTTGTAGAACTGTTAATAAAATATACGATTAGGAAAAATCCACAGGCAACACACAACTCAGGTTTGAACCTTACAGTATCATCAGAGCAGTTACTTTTGGGTAACTTCTCTGATGAGACCATAAGGTTGAAACTCGGGTAGTGCATTGCTTGGGGAGGTTTTTCATAATCTTATATCTTTATATATATATATATATATATATATATATATATATATGTTATGTCAGCATAATAGAATATTATCTTTGATAGTGAATATCTTTGTTTAAATATCTGTATAACCACTCTGATTAAGAGACAATTTTTCAGTATATATATATATATATATATATATATATATATATATATCTTCATAGACCATCTTCAGGACATATTTGATGACGTGATCATATTTAAACGGAACGCTGATCTTATAAAAGATTTCAGTTATCTGTTTGGATTGGTATTGCTTTTATGTCCTTCGTCTTTTTCATGTTGAATTGTATATGGTCTATGTTAATTATGTTTTATGAATATGTCCTGAAGATGGTCTATTAGACCGAAATGCCTGATGTTGACATTAAACATTAAAACAGCATAATCGCATATTAGGATTTTTGTTTGTTTTTTCAGTATATTTTTCTTCATATATATATATATATATATATATATATATATATATGTAATACTAAAAAGAAAAATAGTAGACAAAACTAAGGTCAAGCCAATGTTCGAAAATTGTTTGAAAAATGTACAATACGCAATTTAGAAAAATTGAATTTGTAGAGCTGTTACATGTGGATTGTATATATATATTTATATATATATATATATGTGTGTGTGTGTGTGTGTGTGTGTGTGTGTGTGTGTGTGTGTGTGTGTGTGTGTGTGTATAAACAGCCAATCTGAGAGAAGAAAGCAAGAGGTTCTCACATTCTTCTGAGGAGATCCATGTTCTAAGGAAACTCCCAAAATCACACACCCTTACACTGATATTAATTAAAAAATGCCAAGGTTGAATAAATAATAATTTTATTTATGAAAGATTTCTTCCATATTCTTATTATGATAATGTTAGATTAATGGCAATAGGTTTTCTAAGTATTTCTAAGAATAAGAATTTGAGAGAACACATTTTGAGCATTACCTAAAAGGAATTCAAAACAAGAATACAGAGACTGGAATAAAGGCAATGAATTAGGACTGCAGGTAAAATTTATCATCCTTGCTGTTAACATTATTATTTCTGTTTCTGTGATTATCATCATCATAATTACCAAAATTTCTTCCCTCTTCAAAGTTGTCATCCCTCGTGCATCTCATCAATTGGCCCAGGGCAGATTTGAAATATTTTCTCATTTCTCTCACTGAACGTAAATTGTCTGTTAATGAAATTTCAGTTTTATTAATATGCCAGAAGTGTAAAAGATTCTTCGTTATTTATTTTCTTTATTTCCCTTTGAAAAATCAAAAGGAATTTCCAGATCTTAAACACGTTACATAGACAATACTTACCTTTGTTTATCTTGCATTTATTCTTCTGGATATTCATGATTCTTTATCTTCTATCTATCTATCTATCTATCTATCTATCTATCTATCATTCTATATAAATATATAAATATATATATATATATATATATATATATATATATATATATACACATATACCATTATATATATATATATATATATATATCTATTTTAATCTTTTTATATTGTTTTAATCTTTTTATATTGTATTCATTATATATATATATATATATATATATATATATATATCTCACTGAATCTAATCTCTTCCTATCTTAGTTTGATTTATATATATCATTCAATTCATATATATATATATATATATATATATATATATATATATATATATATATATATCTGTCCTCTGAGTTTATTCTTCTCTGTCATACTGTTCATATCTATCTCTCTCTCTATCGCTCCCTCCCTCTGTCTATATATATATATATATATATATATATATATATATATTGTTCATATCGATGACAATGTTCATATCTTTATATCTGTATATATTGGTCTGTTTACACCTCAATTTGTTATCTATCTATCTATATCTGTTTACATCTATCTATCAGATTGTTCATATCTTTCTCTCCATATATATAAAATCCGACAATTATTTTAAGATATTTTTTTTATGTTTATACATTCTTTTTATAGATACAAATATTTAAATTATTCGAACTATTGTCCTCACTTTTGTTGCCATATTTATTACAGTGTTTCGGCCATTGTATGCTCTGGCCTTTTTCAGGTGGCTGGAATGTCAAACTGAACCCTTTATTTCGTTCACTGGGGTAGACTGTTCTAGTTCCACGTGCCATGTTTAATGGCTGTCAGTTATTAGTTATCTCCAGTTAATTCTCCTCTCCAAGTTCTCCACTAGCTTAACCAGGTATTGAACTCACACTCTTTGAGTCCTGTCACTGGATCTAACCAACACTTTTATCCACTGTGCCATGTGTCCTTGAGGACACATGGCACAGTGGCTAAATCGGTAAAACATATCAGGCTATATGACGGTTCCAGATAGGATACAGGTTCGATTCCTGTCGGAGGGCGCATATTTTCTATGAAAATTTCTCAGACATCCAGGCTGGTAAATGTTGTTAATACCGTTTATTATAAACAGAGCATTTACTTAAATATTTGTATCTATAAAATGAATGTATAAACATAAAAAAAATATATATATATATATATATATATATATATATATATATATATATATGCAATATTTATGGGTTAAAGTGTTCACTATCAGGGATAGAGCATATGTAAGTATAAAAGTGGATATTGAAGTCAACAACACCCAGAGGCTATAGTCTGTTTCATGCTAAACACAATTGTCAGTCCTGATGATTGTGTTTAGCATGAAACAGACAGTTGCCTCTTGGAATTTCTGTTCATATTGATCACAATCTACTTATGTAACTGGATACATCAGTCTGTTTACATCTCAATCTTTTCCTTATCTATCTATCTCATTCCAATTTATATCTATCTATCTATCTTATTCTGTACATATCCATCTATCTATCTATCTATCTGTCTATATCTATCTCTGTCTGTTCATATCTATCTATCTATCTATCTATCTATCTATCTATGTTAATTATAAATTGTTCAGACTATGTTATTATTCAATTCCTGATTTGATTTTCTTTCTCCTGTCATACATTTCCAGAGTGTTATATTCATCATTGAATGCTCCATGAATTTTGCCTGGGTAACAATGCAATACCCACCAGCAAAAGAATTGACAGTGTTTGCCTAAATACATGAGATATCCACCAATGCTAAATTTGAGTCTCTAAATTCCAATCAGATGGAACTGAAATGTAAGATTCAAGATGGACTACAGTAAGTATGTAAATGATTAGCTTCAATGAAATAGTTTCAGATGTTGTCAAGCTCTGTGTAACAATTCTATACACAAGATCATTTATATGATACATATAAAGGGCACATAATCGATAAAAGCCAGCAGAAACTTTCAAGACACATAATGAGGAAAGAGGGCTTGAAGATTTTGATATTCACAGGACATATTGAAAATAAAGGGGAAACAGGTTGGTCTATCTAACAAACAAATAAATGGATGTCAGAATAGTGAATGGAATGTTTGCTGAAAAGATAAAACATAATAAAAGCTACAAAGAATAGAAAGTTGTGATGAGCTATGCTTACCGACATCCTGAAGGGACACAGCACATAGAAGAAGATATATTTAAATTTGAAATATAACATTCCAACTATTTGGATATGCATATATATATATAATGGACTCTCCTGTTGGTTTCGGCATATGAGAATCTGACAGTTTAATTGATTCAGTTATGAAATTTTGTGCAATAATCTTAAGTGGCATTTAAGACCCGCTAGTGATTTACAAAGGAGGCCACATATGTAGCAAGAGGAGGATTGTGAGATGAGATCACTGTTAGATTGGCTGACTTTTTAGATCTTGCTCCCGCTTCTTGAAGATGATTCAGACAAGCAGATTGAAAACTGCTGAGTTCACTAAAACACGTTGATCTCCATTCTACCCACTCCAAGGCTAAGCGCTCAAGGGTGTTATGATGTATATTGACAGCTTTTAGAATTTGTAGGTCTGATGAATTGGATCATGATTGCAATTCCAATGTAATAAATTATAACCATAGAATATTAGTGTTTGAGCCTTTTATATTATGTTCTTACACTGTCCTGGACATTGAGTTCTACCTGGATTCTATGCTCTTGGGAATTTATGTATATTAATATATATATATATATATATATATATATATATATATATATATGTGAAAATATATAGAAAATTGGAAAAAGAACTTGTTAGGTAAATAATCCAAAGGAGAGAGGATACGAGTGTGTCATATGTATACATACATGTATTAATTTTATGTATACTTGATGAGGTCCGTCAAAAACGTGTGAATCTCTTTTTATTTTTCATTTCAGCTTTTGGAAGTAAAGTCTGATGATCCAGAACCCTGTTAAAGGGGTTATGGTGAAATAGCTTATTACATGGAATCTTAACGTGATCTGTTTTTTATTCAAATATATATATATTATGACATGGATTAAGTCTGACAATTATTTACTATATTTTCTGTTTATATGTTATTTTCAATAGATGCAATTTATTTAAGTAAATGCTCTGTTTTTTTTTTTAATAAATAGTATTATTTAAATTTAACAGCCAGAATGTTCAAGAAATTTCATTGAAAATATGTGTTCTCTGAGAGGAATCAAACCTGTGTCCTATTTTCTACACTCATAAAAAAAGAAAATAACTCACTCAGGAGGAAAATCCTCAAGAGTGCCGCCATTGAATATTATCCAAATATTAATCTATGCCCAGGTTTTTTCTCTATTTCACTTTTCCTAACAGAATTACTACCATCCCAAACATACACAACTGTATCAAGAAATAAAAAAAAATGGTTGAATCCTTCAGCACAACAATAAAAATAATATTTCTACACTTGTCAGTACTTGATATAATTTTCATTTGATAATATGAATATAATAGTGTTTTCTAAATTCTTCCAGTTGCTAAGGACATTTTGTTTTGTTAGTTATTTGTTTTATTAAATTCATTCGTTTTTGTCTTGTAAAATTCCACATTGGATTAAAAGTGTCGGCTAATATTACAGTTTTCCTATTGTCTTTTACATTTATAAATATTGTCTTTTTGTACAGGTTAACTCTGAGAAATGTTTCATATATATATATATATATATATATATATACAGTTAAACCTAGAGCCAGACAAACCAACCAAGGTTTCACCTAAGCGGATCGTCAGGGAAGGCAGGCTTTGCTGACGATATGCTTAGGTGAAACCTTGGTAGGTTTGTCTGGCTCTCTAGGTTTAGCTAGGTCTGCTCTACTCACTGTATTGAGCACTTTATTTAGTTATTTTGCCTACTCGTATTGAGGTTTTTTTCTTTAAGCTTTGGACTGCATGCTGGATGATTATTTTCAGCTAATGTACATGTTCTTGGTTCTTTCTTTTTTTATACCTTTTTTCCCTTTGGTATTGGTTTGATTATTTGCAAATCAAAACACCGAAGGTTTTCTGAATTAGTATAGTTTCTTATACTTATAAGATTTCTATTAATAATATATATATATATATATATATATATATATATAAATATATATATATATATATACATATATGTGTGTGTGTGTGTGTGTGTGTGTGTAGTAGTAGTAGTCAATTTGTTATTGAACAAAATTATATTTTTGCATATATATTATTTTGGGCCTAAAAATATTGTCAGAAATATTCCAAACAATTTTACAGCTGGCATGAACCTGGCATATCTAAGAAGATGACTTTTAATTCTTGAGTGACATTTACATATAACTTGATGGATGAAACATGAATAATTACCTGCAACAATTACTTTTTTCACCTTTACTCCTCATCTTTCTCTTTTACCTATTCTTGCATTCTTCCTCATCTTTTTTCCCTATTCATTGCATTCTTCCTTTTCATTCTTTTTTTTTTCTTTCCCTTCTTCCATTTATTATTCTCCTCTTCATTTTTTTTTTTTTTTTTTTTTTTTTTTTTCATTATTCTTCCTTCATTTTTTTTTCTTTTCTTTTTTTTTCTTCTTCCATATTTCATTATTCTCCTCTTCATTTTCTTTTTTTTCTTTCTTTTTTTTCTTCTTCCATATTTCATTATTCTCCTCTTCATTTTCTTTTTTCTTTTCTTTTTTTTTTCTTCTTCCATATTTCATTATTCTCCTCATTTTTTCTTTTTCTTTTTTTTTTCTTCTTCCATATTTCATTATTCTCCTTCATTTCTTTTTTTTTTTTTTTTTTTCTTTTTTTTTTCTTCTTCCATATTTCATTTTTCTTTCTTTTTTTCTTTTTTCTTTTTTCTTTTTTTTTTCTTCCATATTTCATTATTCTCCTCTTCATTTTTCTTTTTTTTTCTTTTTTTTTCTCTTTTTCTTTTTTTTTTTTCTTCTTCCATTTTTCTTTCTTTTTTTTTCTTCCATATTTCATTTTTTCTTTTTTTTTTTTTCTTTTTTTTCTTTTCATTTCATTATTCTCCTCTTCATTTTCTCTTTTTTTTTTTTTTTTTTTCCATATTTCATTATTCATCTTCATTTTCTTTTTTATTCTCCTTCTTCCATATTTCATTATTTCCTTTCATTTTTTTTTTTTCTTTTTTTTTTTTTTTCTTCCATATTTCATTATTCTCCTCTTCATTTTTTTTTTTCTTTTCTTTTTTTTTTTCTTCCATATTTCATTATTCTCCTCTTCATTTTCTTTTTTTTTTTTTTTTTTTTTCTTCCATATTTCATTATTCTCCTTCATTTTTTTTTTTTTTCTTTTTTTCTTTTTTATTCTCCTTTTCATTTTTCTTTCTTTTTTTCTTCTTCCATATTTCATTTTCTCTTCATTTTTTTTTTTTTTTTTTTTTTCTTCCATATTTCATTATTCTCCTCTTCATTCTTTTTTTTTTCTTTTTTTTTTCTTCCATATTTCATTATTCTCCTCTTCATTCTCTTTTTTCTTTTCTTTTTTTTTTCTTCCATATTTCATTATTCTCCTCTTCATTTCTCTTTTTTTTTTCTTTTTTTTTCTTCTTCCATATTTCATTTTCTCTCCTCTTCATTCTCTTTTTTTTTTCTTTTTTTGTTCCTTCTTCCATATCTCATTACTCTCCTCTTCATTTTCTTTTTTCTTTCTTTTTTTTTTCCTTCTTCCATATTTCATTATTCTCCTCTTCATTCTCTTTTTTCTTTCTTTTTTTTCTTCTTCCATATTTCATTATTTTTTCATTCTTTTTTTTTTTTTCTTTTCATATTCTCTCTTATTCTCCTTTTTCTTTCTTTTTTTTTTTCCATATTTTTTCTTCATTTTCTTTTTCTTTCTTTTTTTCTTTTTATTTTTTTCTTTTTTCATTTTTTTTTTTTTTTCTTCCATATTTCATTATCCTCTTCATTCTCTTTTTTCTTTCTTTTTTTTTTTCTTCCATATTTCATTATTTTCTTCATTCTCTTTTTTTTTTTTTTTTTTTTCTTCCATATTTCATTATTCTCCTCTTCATTCTCTTTTTTTTCTTTCTTTTTTTTTCTTCATATTTCTTCTCCTCTTCATTTTTTTTTTTTTTTTTTGTTTCTCTCCTCTTCATTTCTTTTTTTTCTTTTTTTTCATTTTTTTTCTTTTTTCTTTTTTTTTTTTTTCTTCCATATTTCATTATTCTCCTCTTTTCTTTTTTTTTTTTTCTTCCATATCTCATTATTCTTTTTCTTTTTTTTTTTTTTCCTTCTTCCATATTTCATTATTCTCCTCTTCATTCTCTTTTTTTCTTTCTTTTTTTCTTCTTCCATTTCATTATTCTCCTTTTTTCTTTTTTTCTTTTTTTTTTTTCTTCCATATTTCATTATTCTCCTCTTCATTCTCTTTTTTTTTTTTTTTCTTCCATATTTCATTATTTTCTCTTCTTCTCTTTTTTTTCTTTTTTTATTCCATAGTTCATTCATCTCTTTTTTTTTTCATTTTCTCTCCTCTTCATTTTTTTTCTTTTCTTCTTTTCATTATTCTCCTCTTCATTTTTTTTTTCTTTTCTTTTTTTTTTCTTCCATATTT